GGCTAATTCGGACTGGACAGCAGCGTTCGAAGTGCACTCTATAGAGCCAAACGGAATGGAAGGGGGCTTACGTCCGAACATAACCTCAAATGGGGAGAGACCAGTGGATGCATTGATGGCTGTGTTAAAACTCCATTCGGCCCAAGCCAAGAATTTCCCCCATAATGAGGGTCGATGGTGGACAAAACAGCGAAGGTATTGTTGAAGGACTTTGTTAGCTACCTCCGTTTGGCCATCACTTTGTGGGTGATAAGCTGTTGACATCCGAAGCTTGGTGCCGCTGAGTTTGAAGAGATCCCGCCAAAATTGACTTAAAAATATCGGATCGCGATCCGAAATCAGACTGCGAGGAAGGCCATGGTGTTTGCACACTATATTGACGAAGACGTCAACAACTTGAGTGGCAGAGAAGGAGCGAGGAAGCATTCCAAAGTGGGCAGCCTTCGAAAAATGGTCAACCACCACTAGGATGGTTGTGTACCCCTTGTAGGAAGGAAGACCTACAATAAAATCAAGGGAAAGGTCCTCCCAGCATTGTGACGGCAGAGGAATTGGTTGAAGAAGACCCGAAGGCTTCTGTGCTGGAATCTTCGTCTGTTGGCAAGTAACACATTGACTGATAACGGATTGGACATCCTTGCGAATGGAGGGCCAATAGAAATTTGCCATCAAACGCCCCAGAGTTCGTGTAACTCCTGTATGACCTGCCATAGGAGATGAGTGATATTCCTGCAATAAAAGAGGTATTAGTGCACAGGAAGATGGTAACCATATTTTGTCCTTAAAGGTAATCAACTCCCCCTCTACTGAATATAGTGGAAAATCACTCGATTTGGACAGTATATTGTTCCTCATGGCAGTGAAATTCGAGTTTGAAGACAATGATTGCTTTAAATCATTGAGAAAGTCAAGCTGAGGAACGGAGAGGACCAGTAAGGTATCCAAATGAGGAATTTCAACTCGAGAAAGGGCATCAGCAGCATTATTGCTTTTCCCAGGTCTGTATTGGATTTCAAAATCATATCCCAATAGTTTAAACAGATAAGACTGTTGCTCCGGGGTCAAAACAGTTTGGGATAAAAGTTCCTTTATAGAATGCTGATCTGTCTGAATGATGAAGTGTCGACCCAAGAGGTACTGCCGCCATTTCTGCACAGCAGTGGTGATTGCGCATAACTCATGTATATAAGTAGAAGAATTACGAAGTTTAGGGCAAAATTTCTTACTAAAATATGAGATTGGATGACCGTTTTGTGACAAAATAGCACCCATACCGGAGCCTGAGGCGTTAGTTTGAATGGTAAAGATACTGTCAAAGCGAGGAAGTGCTAACACAGGTGAACTTAACAAGACAAGCTTGAGTTGGTCGAAGGCCTGTTGGGCTTGGTCATTCCAGAGGAAAGCATCTTTCCTTAACAGATCAGTGAGGGCATTGGCTATCTTGGCGTAACCCGAAACAAACCGGCGGTAGAAACCGGTCAAACCCAAAAAACCACGGAGAGCCTTAGTGGATGTTGGAACTGGCCAATCTCTGACTGCTTGGAGCTTGTCAGGGTCAGGTTGAACCCCGTGATTAGAAACTACATGGCCCAAGTAGTGGATTGTTTGCTGACCAATGAAACATTTACTCCCCTTCAAGTGGAAACTGTTGGAGAGCAGTAGGTGGAAGGTAGTTTCCAAATGAGTGATGTGTGTCTCGAGGGTGGGGCTGTAGATCAATATATCATCAAAGAAAACAATGATGAATCTGCGAAGATGGGGGCGAAACAGCTCGTTCATTGCGGATTGGAAAGTGGAGGGAGCATTACACAGTCCAAACGGCATGACACGAAATTCAAAATGGCCATTGTGTGTGCGAAAGGCTGTTTTGGAAGCATCCTTTGGGTTCATAAGTATCTGATGAAAACCCGAAAACAAATTGAGTTTGGAGAACCATGAGGCATGCCCCAATTCATCCAACAATTCGTCCACCGTGGGGATGGGAAACTTGTCCTTCACTGTTGCAGCATTAAGAGCCCTATAGTCAACACAAAAATGCCATGTTCCGTCTTTCTTCTTGACAAGAAGAACAAGAGACGAGTAAGGACTTGTGCTTGGTTTGATGAAACCCGACTCCAGCATTTTTTGAACCTGTACCTCAATTTCCTGTTTTTGAAAATGTGGATAACGGTAGGGGCGGATGGAGATTGGTGGTGTGTTGGGGAGGAGGGTGATAGAATGGTCGTTATGCCTTAAGGGGGGTAAGGACGTGGGGGTGGAGAAAAGGGTGGAGTAGCGGTGGAGGAGGGCAGCGAGGCGTGGTTCAAAGGTTGTGGGTAGAGGAGAGGGGATGTTTTGCGGTGGTTGTAGAGTAAGAGCATTGAGGGAAGGGGAAGGAAATGAAATAGTGGTGTTAAGAGAAAGTGGAACAAAGCCGCGATCCTATTAGTGTGTTGAAGGCGCCTTAATTGGTGGATCGAAATGGGTGAGAGGGATGGGCCCGTGTCCCCTTGTAACTGGACCAATTTGCCCTGCCACATAAATCTCATAAATGGGCCATTATAGTCCATAACAAATGGGCTTACTAATGAAAGCCAGTGAACACCCAAAACAAGATCGGTCCCTAATAGCTCCAACGGGTAAAGGTCAATAGGAAATGTATGGTCAGCAAGTGTTAATTGGGCCTGAGAACAAAATGTTGAGCAGGGAAGAAAGTCACCATTTCCAACCATTACTTGTAATGGGCTAGCTGTAGGCTCTAATGGCAACTGGAGAAACTGGGCCACACGGGTCTGGATAAAGTTATGGGTCGCCCCACTATCTACCAATATTTGCACCTTGTACCCATTTATGGATCCAGTAACCCGAAAGGTGCGTGGGTTCCATTGCCCGGATAGCGCGTGAAGGCTAATGAGACCCGCTTCTAACGGTGGGTCAATAGTGGAATCAGAATCCAACTCGACAAGCTCCTCTGGAGGGTCATCGGTGTCCACCGTGGTGAGAAGAAGGAATTGTGATTTGCAACGGTGCCCCCGAGTGTACCGTTCGTCGCAATTATAGCATAGGTTCTTGTCATGACGGGCTTGCATTTCAGCCTCGGTGAGTCGTTTGATGGGAAGCTTGGTAGGAGGTGTGGGTAAGAGAGGTGGAAGGGGTTTAGGAGAGAGAGTTTGTGGTTGGGGTAGAGGTCGTGAAGGTCGGGCAAAGCGTGAGAATGGGGAAGGTGTGGGGCGATTTTTGTCATCTTGCAGTTTCGCAAGAGCAATGGCATAGGGAAGATCGGCTGGTTGTAAAGCCAAGATCTCACGACGGATGTGTGGCTTGAGTCCGAAGGTAGAAACTTTGGGGAAGGCCAGAAATGCGGTTAGCGAGTGTTTCGAATTCAGAAAGATACTCTTGGAGGGTGCTGGTTTGTGTAAGCTTGCAGATGGCAGCAATGGGGTCTTCGAATTTGGAAGGAGCAAAACGAAGCTCGAGAGCATGAAGGAAGGCTTCCCAAGATGTGAGCAAGCCATTGTTGAACATCCACTGAAACCAAGCCAAGGCCGGACCCTCGAGGTAGAACGAAGCAACCTGAATTCGTTGATCGGTGGGGGTGTGATGGAACTCGAAGAACTGATTAACTTTGAAAATTCACCCCAGTGCGTCGGAGCCATCAAAGGTGGGGAGGTCAAATTTTATAGGTCTGGTGGAAGGGTGGTGAGGGGGATTGGATGATGAATGGGATTCCAAGGCGGATGTGCGGCCAGAGATATCGTGTAAGGTGTTGGCAAAATTTGCTTGGGCAAGGAGGATCTGTTCAAGCAATTTGCTGATGTTGGTGGTGTCGGATGAAGAGGAGTTGTCAGCCATGGAGGAGAGTAGCTCAATGAAAGCACCAAATGAAAGGTAAATGGGAAAAGAGAATAACAGAAAAGATGAGCAGAGAGAGTGAAGAAGAATAATCAGAGAGAGAATAATCAACCAAATACTATTTTTCTTGCCTTTACTGCACCAAAAATGTGCTATATATGCACATTCTTACAACCGCCTAACAAAAAACTAGGCAATTAAAATAAAAGGAAAAGGAAAAGCAAAAAAAATCATAACAAACTTGTGATTTCCTAATCATTCCTAACGGATTTGCCTTTCTCACGTGCATGAGGTAGAGTCACCACATAATCCTTAAAGTATTGAAGTAGCTGAGGCTACCTTTTACTAGTCCTTCCAATCACAGCCTCAGAATCAGTGGAGTGGCCCAACTGTGATGATGCAATTGTAGTGGACTCATTGGAGGGAATCAGTATAATAGGCCCAGTGATCGTTACAAATTCATTATAATATTATTTAATATATTGATAATATATATTATTAATAAAATTATCTGTTGGTATAATATGTTACAATGTTAGAATAAATAATCTTCAAAATTTAACTAACAATTTTTTTGCTAAACAAATATTATATTAAAAAAGTTATCTTGACAATTTAATTTAACTAAAATAAAATGAATGATTTTAATAAAATTTATAACTAAAATAATTGTAAAAAGTAAAAAACTAATAAACACTTAAAATTTTAACAGTTAATACAAGATTTCCCTCTAAAAATATTGATAATTAAGTTTGAAATAAAATGGGTGAAGAAAATGAGCTTATATATATAAGAACGAAATCTTATTATATTAGGTAAATTTAAAAAAATTTACACTCGATCCAAACTTTTTATTTAACTTTTATAAGTTATAATTTATTAATTCATTAGTCATTAAATATAAATTAAATTAAGTATAAAATTTGTAATGAACAAACAGGCATCCACCAAATCACAAAGTAGCGCTTATACATGTCCCATGCATGTCGACCCTCACGGTTAAAGTTAATTCAACCCGATTTATTCGAAAAGCATCACTGTTTGCACACTGTATACCCAAATATACAATCAATCCATAACCGTGCATACATAAAAATAATGTAAAATTTTAAAAACTACAAGCATAACATAATTGAATCTAAGTAAAACGAAGAATGTATCTTGAACGATAAAAGTACAACTTGATTAGAAAGTGAAGGATTTAGATGTAAATAACCTTATATCTTAATTGGTATACATGTGTCTGAATGTTATCACAATCTCAATCATTGATTTTAATCAACAACCATAGTCCCACTTTTATCTTTTAAAATGTATCTCCTCACTTAGGAGGTACTAAATTCTTTATAATTGTACTCTTATTGCTAGCAAACATGAGCAAATAAAATCACAAAATTACGAAAATAATCCACCAAATGATGCTTTGGATCATTAGAATAGATGTGAAGCAACACCCCATTCTCCTCCTAGCTTATCTTTCAGTTGATCAAGTTCATTCTCAGGCAAAGAAACCGTTATCATTCTTCCTTTGTTATCTTCTGGTGCTGGAAGCACCAAAACAGCACCTTGATTACCCACTCCATGGATACTACAATTCGCCACAATTGGTTTTTGTCCATTCAAATTGGCCTCGTAAATTTTAGCTTCTTCCAAATTTACAAATGTTAAGTTTGCTCCATAAACTGTAAAATCCTCTGTGCCTTCTTTTTCTTCCACCAACATTTCCACAATACTATTTTCAGCCTTCTTTTCCTCAGCAATTAGCTTTGCCAAATCCGACACATCAGATTTACCAACCACCACATTTGCTTCAACTATGCTTAACACCAAGCCATTGGTGGGAACATCATCAATTTTTCTATAATCAGTGCCATATGTACAAATTGTCACAATCTTTGGCTCAGAGCCACCCCTTATGCGAGCTATATATTTCCACAACAATGCTGAAAGAGTTTCAAAATATAAGGGGTTGTTGGTGATTTGGTTTTCACCACATGGAAATGCACTTGTTACCAAGTGGTCAAGTTGTTCGGAGTTAATGTGAAAAGAGTGAGTACCCATTTTGGTGTCATTAGTAGCAAGCCAGTGTTGTTCAACAATTTTAGCCCTTTTAACAGAAATGGGATTCCCTGAATTTGAATTGTGTAGGAATTTGGCTTCTTTGTGATTTGGCATAAGAAGAGATTTTGGTGGCATTTGACCTGACAGTATTTGGCTCCACTTGTTGATGAAGTTGAAAGCTGAAAAAGCATCTCCAAGGACATGAGACCAGCTGAGTCCCACACAGAGCCCTCCACATTTGAACCAAGTGAACTAGATTCAAAACATCATAGCAGCAGATAAATTTAGTTGCATGTACCAAGGGCATGCCGTAATATACTAATGATTAATGAATACTATTATGCATATAGTAATGATCTAATGAATATTTGTTAATTAAAATTGATTTTGTAGAGTGAAATTTTTTTAGATCCCTTAGACCTATAGTACATATTCTTTTACTTATAAAGATGACAGGTGACTAAACTACATTACAGAAAGTAATCCTAGAGTGTTGAACATTTGCTTGTAAAGAACTCCAAAATTATAGTATTATTGAGTTGAAAATCCAACACACAGACCATGCAGCAATAAATAACCAAAGAATATTATTTATTGTAGAATTGGTCTTATAGAGAGCTTTTGTACTATACGTGAGTTTTATGTTATAGCCTATAATGAAAGAAGCCTCAATTAGTGCACTCTTCCTTGTAAATATAGGCTTTTGGTTAAGGTTTTCTTTCCTTGAGCCTTAAATTTATTGAAAAATCAACAATCGTATGCTTGAACTTAAACATCGTGTCTTGTGTAATGTTTCTCAGTGGGATATTTGATTTGAGGTGAGAGTGGAGAGACACAGATAGGTGTCTTCTCAACGGTGTCTTTTAATATTCTCAACAATTCCTTCAATTAAAATCAATGAATATATTCAATTAGGATTTTAAATTCAAGTTAATATTCATATCATTAATGAAGATTTTAGTGTATAGATGAAGATGATGGATTAAAAACATTAGAATAAAGTAGTTTTTAATTTTTTAGACTCAAATCAATAAAATTTGAAAACAAAAGTGAATCTTGAATACAAGCCTTATTTTGCACGTACCCAACCATCACACCACCGAACATGACCAAAGTAGGACCATGATAAAGAAAGCACTAGAACGAAATATTATTTTCATTGGCAAGTTGGAATGACCAATTAGTACTGCAATTTTACAATTATTTTTACAATTAAGAAAGAGATAAAAAGATAATAAAGAAAAATATATATGGGATGAGATAAGTAATATAATCAAAAGAATATATGAAAAAAAAAACAAGTTGTAAAAAAATATTATAAAAATTATGTAATAAATAGCAAGTTTTCTATATTTACAATTGACCAAGCTAGATACATGTATTAAATATGACTAGCCATTAATCAAATTTTCTTACATCGATAACGATACTGATCATGTGACGATATAATGCATCACTTCCTTCTCATAAATATCACCACTGTAACAATATAAGATTTTTCTTTTCAAAATAAAGAAATACATTTTAAAAGATTAGTTATTAGTTATAATAGTAAATAAAACAATTCATGACTGAAATTTGCCAATTTTGTTATTCATTATGTGTATGTATTTTATTATATTTTATCTTCTAAAATATATGCAAGTGAATTAATTTAAAAATTAAAATTTTAAATAATTATTTATCATGAGATTTTTTTAATACTTTTTTTAAAGTTCTATTCTCTCCGTCTATATTTTTTACAAAACTAAAGATCATACAATTAATTGTCTTTATTGATGTTTCTGATCTCCTTCGCACATGTTTAAATTATTTTAATCGATATTCTATTATCTTCTTTTCAATAAGTGCTATTCCAATCACTCTCCTATGCAATTTTTTTTCGTAATCACACATTCATTTTAACATTTTCACTTGCTAATCAGAATTTTTTTTCATATAATCCTTTTAAAATTTAACATTTACTATCACATAAAATAGTTAAGTCTACAGTAGTTTGATAAAATTTCTTTTGAGCTTGATTTGTATTTTGCCTTTACATATAATGAGAATGCCGATGAAAAAAATACACCCCAACATAACCAAGCATGTCAAGGACAAGAATTGAATGAAAAAGGTCCAAGTGTGGTGATGCAAATGCTCCAAATGGAACAACTAGTCTACATGTCTTGAATTAGGAACCAAAAGCAAAACAATTTGATGGAGTGAGGAAAGAGGTCAAGATAGGGTGATCATTGGATTCCTCAAGGTCAAAGAAGGAGCTCAATTTTGTGGAAGAACACCACCCCATGGGTCATGAGATGTTGACACGAACGTAATCTCGTGTGGGTGACGAAAAGGGTGACAATTCGAGGGCCATTGACATCTGCACAGACATCACTCCTTATCTTTACAACAATAACTTTATCACCACTGTTGTCGCCGTATAGATACATCACATCATTCTAACTGTCCACAAAACGATTCATTCTAATGATTATATATTATTTGGAGGATATTCAATCGTGAAGATTCACAAATGCCTGCGCAAGCAAAATATTTGGTGCCATAAAAGAGGGGTTAGTGTCCTGATCGGTATGGGAAGGCCTCTATCACCATTTTGGCAACGTTTGCTTTTAAAAGGTGGAAACAAAGGGTTGTGAAAGGTGATTCAGGTCAACATATACTACAACATTTTGGTTCTAATCCAACCGTTATAAATTTTATCTTATACTAACAAATCGTCATTTTTACTTTTGGCAATGGTATGACAAGAGTTTTTCACCGTTCTAGACTTAGTGTTGCCTTTGGTTTAGGCAACAATTTTTACCCACAAAAAACCACAATATTTTGGAACAGTTGCCAATTATGTAATCAAATGCAATTATTTTTTAAAAAACATATTAAAAATGATTTTCTTATGTTATTTTACAGGGTAGCAATTTTTCTATAATTTACCATAGTCAAATAATTATAATTGTAATTGGAATCTTAAATCTATCTTTACCACCGTTAGACTCGATATCAGACCACTTAGATCTAAAACCATTAAGATAGATTATTTTTTAGACGAACCTGCTAAGGTCTTATTCCTCAGTCAACGTGAATGATGTACCTAATCTTCTGCTAACAAGTTTATCCACCTAATCTTTGTGTAAGTTTAGTTTCATCAAAACTCAACTCACATTATATCAATCAATTAGCTAATGTTAGCATCCTGGTTAAAACTAAAAACTCGCAGCTATCTTCGTCTATATAAAGGGAGAGACTTCAAACTCCCATGTAAGTTCACTTTTTACCTATAGAGAAACTTTGTCAGACTCCTTATTAACTTAAGCTTTGAAGTATTTCTTGTAGGATCAACATCACACTTGTAGCTAAAGATAAGTGCTAAAATAATTCTCACTCATTGAAGAAACTCAATAGAAAGAAAAATTGCTCTACATGCGTAAAATATAACTGTGATTGAGTGTACACTTTTGTATGGTTTATATAATGTTATTTTATTTCTTATTTAGTATATAAACTATTACATATTTTTTTTCCTAAACTAATTTTATATTGTGGATAAAACTCGAGAGAGACATCTGTGTTGATGAAGTCTTCCAAACTACTCACGTTAAGAAGGGGTTCAAAGAGTTTGTAGATATTGAGCTTTTGGCAAACTACGATAAGTTAATTTTAAACCATATAAGACTTACTTGAATTTATATTATCTAATTAATTTCATTGAACAATAATTATAGACACATTTTGAGACAAGCTTGGGGTCTTGGACAACCTCAAATAAGAGTAGGACTTCCTCAGCTTCCCCACAATAGGAGTACGAACACTTGAAGATGTGAGAAAATGTTGATAGAAAGACGATGAGTACATCTATAGTACTCGTGATCTTAGTGTTAGTTACCACCTTAGAGTCTTTAATCTTTTGCTATTATCTTGCACTTTCTCCAACACAAGCTTTGTTTTGATTAGTCTTCAAATATTGTTAAACTATGGATGCATATAGAGTTGACCAACCAAAAATAACAACTATTATAGATATTATAATCGATGTAGCAACATGTAGAGTATCAGTTATTACTACCATCGTGAGCACCTCCTCATCATGACTATGATCATGACCACGTCGGTGATTGCAATAGTTGTTACTTTCTTCAATTGTTATTTATAATTTGTGAAAATCTTTAACTTGAATCGAGGAAAGTGTCATCAAGTAAGCCTTGTGATAAATGCTCTAAATACTTAATCTTACATTATGATAATTGAGAGTTTTTAAGCTATTCATTGATAGAAATTACTATAATTAATCTCATTTTATTTATATTTCAGAAAAAAGGATCAAGGATGTGAAAATCTTAAAGATGTCAAGAATTGAATAAAGAAGAACCCAGAGATATACACGGGTAGATACACGACCGTGTATATGAATGTGTACATCATTGGTGTTGTCAAAGAATGCATCATCTGAACCAGAGATATACACGGTCAAGGTGCATGACCATGTATATGAGCGTGTACTGCCTATAAAGATTGTGAAGGTCAAGTATTAGAGACCAGAGATGTACACGGCCAGATACACAGCCGTGTATGGCCGTGTACATGAGCGTGTAATTGTTAGGAAAGGTTTGAAGGGCACATATTAAAAAAACAGAGATGTACACGGCCAAAATACATGGCCGTGTACTTTTATGTACGTCAGAAATTAAACTTTTGCGAGAAAATAAACCTTAAGACAATTCCTATAAAAAGAAGTCTGGATTCAAACCTAAGGGAGGCGGTTTTTGGAGACGAAAGACTCAGAGACGGCAAGAGGATGGGATCAAGCGTTCTAATTCATATCTTTTGTAATTTTAGTTTCAAGATGTTTAGGTTCTAATTTTCCTTTGAGTATCTAGACGTAATAAATCCTAATTGACTAAATTTTCTGGAATTCTTCTAATGTTATTTCATGCTCCTTTCTCTTGGGTTTAATTGAGTAGTATCAATTTTCTTCTATCTTGTTTTCTTGTTTGAATTTGAGTAAAATTCTTGCATGAATTTAACATTGCTCAATTAAAAAGACTTGAATATATTTCTAGAGATAGAAAGACGTGAGTTTTCTGTATTAGGATTAACCCTAATTATGGAATTCATAATGAACTTAATGCAACCTAAGAGTATTAATTAAGGAAGAGATTCTGATTGATCAACTGAGGGTTAGGAATCATTATCCTTGAGAAAGATATTGATTTAATTTAGAATTTTCTGCAGCGATAAGGGTTTGAAACTAA